ATTCGTCTTCGCAGTTAACACATACGCGAGGGGTACTGTATCATTCATAACTCTGAGAGACTACAAACCGAACTTCCTAGACAAACCGACCTGCCGACTAATCAACCCCACCAAATCCGAGATAGGCAGAATCAGCAAAGCAATCCTCGACAAAATCTACAAGAAAATCACAAGAGCAACACGGCATCTGTGATAGAGTGGTTTAAAGCCATTAAAAGCAAAAAAAACACCACAGTTTTATTTGCTTTGACATCGAAGAATTATATCCCTCCATTAGCCAAGACCTCCTGAACAGAGTACTCAACTTTGCTTCAGCCTACGACGTCACCAACGACGAAGAAACATCATGTAACACATGCAAAACAGTCGATCCTTATGCACAAACAGCAACCTTGGTAAAAGAAGGTCGATACAACATTTGACGTCCCAATGGGCAGCCACGACGGTGCTGAAACATGCGAGCTTGTAGGAAGCCTTTCCCAACTTCGAAACATCAACATAAGACTTTACCGAAACGACGGACTGGCCTTTTCAAACGCCACACCGAGAGAAACAGATGACAGAAAATTTGCCGCGGTTTTTTCGACGAGGCGTCGTAAGAAGTTGTTTCGTGATGGTATAGGAATATTCAACCATCGCACAACGATTTCTCACAACGCCTCGTCGAAAAAATCGAGTAGTTTCTACGCACAATGCACTGGAAAGCTTACTTCTTCTTCAACTTTGATACGACCACTCGCTCTTAAGACATATACGACTTCAAGTCTACCAAGAACCCCTCTCGGATCGACTAGTTAAAGGAATTTGTAGATGACATGCTAAAGATGATATTTACAAAACATTTTAAACATTTAGACTGAACAGTTTTTCAGTTATTCTCAACAGATTTTTTTCGGTTTTAGAGCATTTTTGTTCAAATAAAGGTAATCTACTTTTACTTTTGAAAAAGTAAAAAATCAAACATTTTCAACACTAGGTAAACATCACCATGAAGATTAAATATTCTAGCCATGTAAATAGCTCAATGGCATTAAATTTTTTGATATTTTTTCCAGTAAATACTTTTAAAAGAAATTATTCCCTACCTAAGATATTAACCTTTTTCTGTCTTTACTTTCATCCATAAATACTGTTAAATGTTCTCAGCTATTATTCAGCAACTAAGTTTTGGTTAGGAACATATTTTCAATTCAGGTTTGCCTCAAAATCCATAATTTCAGTCAAAGGTAGTATTAAATTAACTGTGGCATGTGATAATGCAGAAATACTTTAAGATAGCTTATTTCATTGTGCTTTCCCAAGACCTCTATACATGATATGCTTTAAATTTTCATATCAGGTGAGGCACAAAGCGCTAAATATATTTCTATGTACCTTTGCTCTCAGGTATGGTGAAACAGAGAATTAACTCTGAAGTGTAAATTAAAGTGCTATTTAAACCCATGAATAACCCACAGGGCGTTAGCCCTAATAAAGGGAAACAGGGAACCACACGAGGCAAAGAAAAAATCTTTTGACCTCGGTGGGAATCGAGCCTAAAAGAACTACTCACAGAACTTAGACAAAGAGATAAAGGTGAGTGAAACATGTGTATTGGCTCACGACCTCCGGATTAGATCTACCGTTACTCTAGAGTAACGGTAGATCTAATCTTATATTCTCTCATGGTATGTTTACCTCCCACTATTTCCACCATTGAAGTAGAAGTAGACGAACTACTCAAGAAATTTCAGAAAAGGGGGACAGAAGGTGAATAAATAATGCGCATTTAGAGAAAACAATTGTAGTAGAATGCTATTAAAATATTTCCAGTTCCTTGTAGAATTATATTACCGCTCGTGTATACATTAACCAAAAAACGCGAATAAAACGCGCCAAAAATCGCATGCAAATGCGAATTTAAAAAAATGTGCGCGTCAAAAAATTGCACATGCGCGCATAAGCTTGATACGTCTGCCTCGTTAGTATATATGAGGTAATCCTTTTGTTTTTCTATTGTTGGCGGTTTACCGTTTTAAAGAATAGGCTAAATAGAAAAACGAATAGAAAAAATAGAAAATAGAAATAATAGAATAGAAAAACAAAAGGATTACCTCATATATTCTAAAGAGGCAGACGTATCAAGCTTATGCGCGCACGTGCGATTTTTTGACGTGCACATTTTTTTAAATTCGCAATTGCATGCTTTTTTTGGCTACAATGTAACAGGACTAAAATACTACACTGCTACCAACGACAAGAAAACTTGTTCGTTTCAATCACCGTTCTAACCGACCTTCCCGATATGCTGTTACAAACTACTGCGACTTCGTAATAGGAATATATGAATGATTTATCATTTTCCAACGGAATTCTTTAATCAAAATTTGTCACTTCGTATAAAAAAAACATCCGTCACAACGGCCTTGAGAATTCGTTCTCGGTGTATTGTAATTCGGTAGAATCAGCTAAAGCGTCCGTTTGTAACCAGTTGTCGCATTCTTAATGCAAACCCACCTCTTGAACGTTTATTTCATAGCTTTATCATCGGTGAACATGCTATTCTCGAAAACTGGTTTATTCATCGCGCCATTTATACAAAAACTTATAAGTTCTACTAGCTTATTTTAATGGTGTTGTGTTACAGTATGGTTACCTGTCACGACTACGCCTTGTTCTTACCATATGCATATTTTTATTGGAAACCGGATTTGCTTCTTGTTTTAAAATTTGTAAAATCATCGAGCGATGTTCACCAAATTGCTCATAAAAGGGAAGGGAAAAATTAAATGCAGGATACATTTAGTTCAAGTTTGTATAAGACTCGCAGACGCGTGCAATTGGACAAAACATCAATACGGCGATACTTATGTCAGTCAACACAGTAATTCAGGACTTTTGGAAAATTGGTGGCTCCTAAAGGAGCCGTTTTTTCATTAAAGGAAGCTGTTACCAGGCTCTTCCTTCGCGTTGGACTACAGTAGAAGTAACTTTTCGGAGGTGGCTAATGTATTTACAGCACTCAGCAGCAGTCCCAGAGTCCCTGAACCGATGGATGCCCGCGACAAGTTCGTCCTTGTTAGTTGGCTTGACAACGCGACGCAAGCGAATGTTTTCAGTTCGTGTCAGGGGAGCTTTAAAGGATTCATGTCCGGGCTTTCAGCAGGAGTAGGCCAGTATTTTATGTTATTATCTTCGAATCTTCGTCTTTGACATTGCGATTTACTATAACTTGACCTTTCATTGTAGTAATATATTGCGCTCCGCAACCAAACAAATCATCACGTGCGATGCGAAATGAAACTGTTTACATTTCTGTGCGTAAACGCTCAAGCGAGCGCCGATTGCAATGAATAAAATTACGTGAGTTTTCCGTTGTGGACTCGTCGCATTTTCAAACTTAAAAGTTCTTTGTTTTACACAACTATGAAATACAAAGGAAATTTATAGCACTGAATAACAAAGGCACATGAGTCGCGCATTTTTTCGACCGTGCGCGCAAAACAATCGTATATGCGCGTCTGACTACCCTGAGTCTGAGCGTACGTAATTCGTCTGCGCAGTTAACATATACGCAAGCGGTACTGTAAAATTTTTTCCAGGGAACTCCTGCATATGCAGCCTTCTACTGCAGTAATTATTAACCATTGCCATGCTCATTGGAGGCCTTATACATCAGTTATGTTCCTCCATTGGCACCCAGCACTTAGGTGGAGACTGTTTTCACGAGTGGTAAATCCTGGCAACCCAGCCATCAGCCGTCATGTAGTAAGAAGAAAACCTCCCATTGCACTGGAAAATAAAAATTGTAGAAGAAAAGGAACAAAATACCAGGGAAAAGTGAATTTCGTCGTAGTGCATGTTAAAAGAATATCTGACTTCTTAGGATAAGCTCATTCTGGTCCTGGAAACTTTCAAATTTTGCTACATATGCAAAATTACAGGTACTGTTTCATGTTATGCACAGTTGGCGTGGTGCGCGCGTGCAGTGGTTTAGATCTGCACAAGTGTCAAGTGCGCGGTATTGTAGTGGATACTACTAGGGCTTTTTATGAGATTGCCAAGGCGTTTTTAATTGTATCCATTTACACCCTTCAGTTTGTTAAGGCACTGCAAACTTTATTGTCCGGGTCAAAGCTGTAACACAGTGTACACATGCAGTTTGTAACTTGGATTTTGTTACTTGAACGTTGAAGAGCCTTTGTGGAAGCTACCTTAGAGTTACAATAATCACATGAGCTACCTGACGTTATTAACTTTACCATATACTATCGCTGGCCATACCTGTGGGTAATATGAAGAGAATCCTGTGTTGGGATTGACTATCTAAGCTGCCCCCTTGGGATTGCCCGCTTAGATTCCACACAAGAAAAACACTGCGCTAAGGTGACTTACAAATCTCGGTGATGGAGGTGGAAAAAAGGGACAGAAGACTGTCAAAACAAAGACATCATGAATGACTCGCGTGGGTTTATTGTGCTACAAACACAGTTGGCTTTCTTTCCGTGCTCCTGAAATAAACAAGTCATTCTTGATTCTTAATAAAGTGAAATCTTTTTTTGTTTTTATGGACCTCGAGCTCGTCTTGGTCCAATATTCAGCCATCTTGACCTCTTGCTTGGTTAACACACACACACACACACACACACACACACACACACACACACACACACACACACACACACACGCACGCACACACACACACATGTATATATATGTATATAATTGCTTAGTCAGTAAACCTTAGTACATGTAGGAGGGTCTCAATGTAGTTAACCGTAAAATGGCAAAAAAAATAGCCGTTAGGCATAAAAATTGACAAATTTCAACTGTCAGTCGTCAAAATGGTCAACTGAAAAAATTTTTCTTTAAACTTCTGAACAGATTTTTGCAAGATTTTCATTGGAGGGGCTATGAAAGAAAAAATTTCTAGTTTTTACATGTTGGGTGTTTTTAAAAATAGTTTGAGGTATGTTTATGGTTCAAAATGTTTGTCATCTTGTAAATCTGATTTTAGGTGCTTTGTCCTCTGAATTCCACTCCACAAGTTCAACCAGTGAAAGTCCACTAACAAAAGAACAATGGGAAAAAAGTGAACAGCAAACAAAGATTATGGAGACAGCGAAATTGGAAGGTGAAAAGGAAATTTAAAAAAACTTATATTAAGTTATATGGAAAGCTGTTGTGAACAATAATAACGGTTATGTTATAAGTACTTGAAGAATTATCTCAGTGCAATGATGTGGCATCAATTAATTAATATAATTGTACACAGTTCCAATTATGAGAACAAAACATCTGAAGAGAAGCTGTGAATGCTAATCTCTCTCTGCATTTTTACCCTTAGGTACTTCACCCCTCATTGTGATACCGACCACTGGTCATGGAAAAGAACTAGAAGAACCTTGGGGAAGGAAAGGTGAACAGGATGCTCAGTTTGAATTATTTTTGAAGTTAATGTAATTGAAACATGTTGCTCATTATGTTCAGCTACTACCAGTAAGCCAAGTAAAAAGTTGTATTGTATTGTAAGTTATCAACTATTTAATGTTCTTCATGTTTGTTGAGTTTTTCCCTTTGTTATTGGGAAAAGTACCCGCTTTTAAGTGGATTTAGTTGATCTACCCTTAAAACTGATATCAAACCACCTTGAAATGAATAAAAAGATGTGGGGCTTACTACTTTCAGTTGTTTTTGCTGACGTGTTGAAGTCTAGCATGGGTTCCAGTTTGGGTTCAGTTCCCCCTGACATGCTCCAAGAAAAAAAAGAAAACAACATAGCAAATCACTGACTTGTTGTTTTGATGCATTGACATTGAAGAAGTGGAAGAATTCATCCGTGCGTAAATTGGCCTAAAAAGCGGTAGGAGTGAAGCTATGAAACTTCAGGAAAAAAAAATGAGAAATGAAAAAAGAACGTGAATGTGGTTTTAGTCATCTTTTAAAATAGAAATTAATGTTATTAATAGGCAAGAATGCTTCTGTCAGCAATTATGATAAATGATACTTGTCAATGCAAATTATTTGAAATGTGTTTCTGCCTCATTCTCTTCTCTAGTTAAAGGTAGTGCTGAGTTTCCTTGCAATAAATTAAGGAAATGTTACATACATGTAGAGTGATTACTTTTTCAGTTGTTCTCAATAGTTTTTTTTTTTCGGTTTTAAAGCTTCTGTTCTTAAATGTAGATAATCTACAGTGTACATGTACCTACTAGTATCTTTAAATGCAAGTTGGTATGCCTTTTCCCAACTATTAATTAGTAGAAATGGTAATATCTCTCTGCATACCTTTGTTTATAGGCATGTTGCCTCTTCCTGGATCTTCCACCTTTGATCTTGAAGAAAAACTAGAAAAGCTTTATATGAAACTTCTAACGATAAAAGGTGAAGTAAAATATGCTGTTAAATTAAATTTCATGGCAAATCTAAACCAAGAATGCTTTTAAATACATTTAGTTCTCATTCAAAATATTTTTTTGAAAGGAAATTTCACCCAATTTAGTTTTCCCTCACTCTGTGTTTTGCTGTAAGGGAATATTAAGATGGTAGAGGCTGAGGATGGTGAAACAGTATATAATGATAAACTAAGCTTTTTCGGTGTTGATCCTAAATTACGCCTTAAAAAACTGACAATGATGTAGTTTAGATAGATTTTGTACATCGTATACAATCAGTTAATCGCATGTTGGTTTGACCTGTTATCGTGTCGCTATTAAAAGTAACACCATGAGTTGCACTTTGTACCTTACCCCTGAGGGTTGACTCCATTACTACGGACACCCTAGCGGGGAGATTTAGTTTCTGTAATAGCGAAGAGTCTGTAATAACGGGGTATGAGAGATAAAATAAAGTTTCCAACGTGGCCTCACAAACGGGAAAAAGATCAGGCCGCAAGCAGGAAATTCTCATGTTCACACCCAATTGAAGAATGGTTTCTTTATTTTCCTTTTTCATAATGTCGCTTTATAGTATGTTTGTCAGGATTTTGGATGAAGTATTAAGTGTCTGTTATAGCGAGAGAAAGAACAAGAGAAATGTCGTGCTGTGGGGCTTGAAAGTGTCTACATTTCGATAAAAGGAAGAGTCCGTTTTAAAGGGAATTTATTTCGTTTCTTCATGCTTTTCCCTAGGGGCTGGCTCTTGTTTGCGGTGGCGAGGTGTCTGTAATAGTGAGGGGTACGCAGGGCGAGAGTCAACTGTAGATTAATCCAAATTTGGCATTGTTTCATTCTCTACTTTAGCTAAAGATGGCATTGAGTCGGCATGTGGTAAAAATACATAATGGTTGTTTTCAACGATGATCATGGAGTTACAATGAAGATCTAACACTGTTTTACTTCAACATGACTATAATTTGCTGTTTGCACAAGTATATCTGTTGTTATCTTTTCTGTGTAAAGTCAGACACTGAATTTTGAAAAGCTCTGTATACCTTTGCTCTCAGGTTCTTCATCTCTCCCCGTCGATGATCTTGAGGTAAAGCTAGATCAAGTATTTGAGGAAATTCGGATGCTGAGAATGGAAGGTGAATAGAAAAATTCATATCTTGTCATTTTTAGGGAGAAACTGATACAAGAATGCTAATAACTGTCCATAAAGTTTGCTTAGGTTTAAAAAATAAGCTAAAATATTGAATAGGTAAAAACCAAACATTTTCAAAACCAGGTCATCATCAGGGTGATGATGACCTAGTGTTGAAAATGTTTGCTTTTTATATATTTTTTAATATTTTAGCCATGTAAATAGCTCAATGCTATGAAATGAATTCATATTTTTCCAGTAAACTCTTTAAGAGAAATTATTCCCTATCTGAGATATTAACGTTTTTCTGTCTTTACTTTCATCCAAGAATACTGTTAAATGCTCTCAGCTGTTATTCAGTAACTTAGTTTTGTTAAAGAAAATATTTTCAATTCAGTTTTGTCTCTTAATCCTCAACCTCAGTTAAAGGAAGTATCAAATTGGCTGTTGCATGTGATAATGAAATATTACTTATAGATAGGTTATTTCACAATGATATAATGGAAAACTTGCATTATTGTTCTTTCACTTGACCTCGATACATGTTATCATGCTTTAACTTTTTTATCAGGTGAGGTACTTAGTGCTAAATATATTTCTGTGTACCTTTGCTCTCAGGTAGTTTTTCTGTCCTTAAATTTTCAACCATTGATCTTGAGAAAAAACTAGCTGAACTACGCATGGAGCTTCAGAGGCTCAGAATGGAAGGTGAATATAAAATGTTTATTTATTCATTATCAGAGAGAAATAAATCCAAGAATGCCGTTAAAGGCTTCCACCCCCGTATCGAATTATCACTTTTGAAGGAAAATTATTCCTTATTTAAAATAATCTGTTATCTGATTTTATTACTATTGATGAATGCTTCCACTCCTTATTCAAATTATACATTTTCAAGGGAAACTATTCCTTAGTAAAGATGATCCCTCTTCCTTTATAATTATTAAGTGAGATAGTTATCTAATACTTTCAGTTCTTCACATGAGCCTAGTACAATGTGAAGTGTTTGTTAAATGCCTGTTTTTAACCATTTATGCGAGGTAAGGCACTGAATGCTAAATACAGTGTATCTCTCTGTTTACCTTTCCTTTCAGGTACTTTGCCTCCCCCTGAACTCTTTACTGCTGATCTTGAAGATGAACTAGAACAACTTCAACGACTTATACTAAGAAGAGAAAGAGAGAAAGGTGAGTGAAACATGCGTATTAACTCTGTTGAACAGGGCAAAAGAAATATGGAAAGTGATGTAAGGAAATAGTTCCACTAGTATTTCAGGCTTGATTTTTTAAGTAACAAGCTGAAAGGTGACACACTTCCTTTAAGTTTGTTATAAAGGACTCCTATTATTTTCTCTCAAATACCTAAGCCCTGCATGCAACTTGCAAAACATCTGCGCTGCTCATTACGTGTTGAAGCATTGAATAATGTGTATTTACTCCATATTTAAGATAACCCCTCTTCTTATATAATGTTATCAATCAAGAATGGTGTTTCAAAATTCTTTAAACCATTTTGCTGTTTACTTCTTCTCTCAGGTAGTTCACATTCCCTTTTTACCACTATTTATACAGTACATGAACTACGCCAGGAACTTGAGAAAGTCAAGATGGAAGGTGAATAAATAATGCACATTTAGAGAAAAAACAATTTTAGTAGAATGCTATTAAACACTTCCACTTCTTTATCGAAGTATCTTTTTCCACGGAACTCCTGCACGTGCAGTCTTTTTCTGCATTAATTATTAACAATTGCAATGCTCATTAGAGGCCTAAGATATAAATTACATTACTACATTGGCACCCAGCACTTAGATGGAGACTGTTTTCACGAGTGGTAAATCCTAGCAATCCAGCAATCAGCCGTCATGTAGAAAGGAGACAACCTCACATTGCACTAGAAAAAAATATTGTAGAAGAAAAGAAACAAAATACCAGGCAAAAGTGAACTTCTTTTTAGCACGTGTTAAAAAATAACTAGCTTCTTAGGATAAGCTCATCCTAGTCTTTCAAAATCTCATCCTAGAAGCTTTCAAATTTTGGTACATATGCAAAATTACAGGTACTGTTTCATGTTGTGTAGTTTCGTGGTGCGCGCTTGCAGTGCTCGGGATTTGCACGTGCATCAAGTGCGCGGTACTGTCGTGAATCTTGGATACAACTCTAGCATTTTATCAGAGTGCTTAGCCATTTTTAATCGTATCCATTTACAACCTTGATGTGTTAAGGCCCCGCAAGCGTCAAATTGTGCTCTAATTCAGAACAAGGTGTACACATGAAGTTTGTAAATTGAGTTTGTGTGTCGAACGTTGAGGAGCCTTTGTGTAAGCCACCTCAGAGTTACGATGACCACATCGCGCTACCAGAGGTTATTAGCTTTACCATATTGCTGCTTCAATAGTGCATGTAGTACTAATGCATGTCAGTGAACTGTAATACATGTAGGAGGGTCTCAATGGGGCTAACTGTTAACCGTAATATAGCAAAAACATTTTGCTGTTAGT